CCGGAATAGCTTGAATTACTGCCTTGATTAAAACCTCTTTACCAGCCCGGGATAGCGAGCTTTGTTTCCACCCTTGTAATTTTTCCATCACTCTTCCTTTTACATAAGCAAGACCACGCTGCTTCGAACGTCCCCAAAGAGCAGGAACCCCCAAGTATGTCCCCGGATTATTAACCACCACCATTCCAAGAGACCTCCCCAACTGATCAGCGATCCCCTTTGGCACATTTACCCCAAAGAAAACACTAGATTTCATCAGATTCACCTTCTGCCCAGAAGCAACACAGAAGCTCTCAATCAAATGTCTCAGATTTCGGCAATTTTTCTGATCAGCACGCAGAAACAAAAGAGTATCATCAGCAAAGAAAAGGTGAGAAATCACAGGACCCGATCCGCCCATCTTGACCCCCTCTAACCGCCCCTGACCAACCGCTCCTTGAATCATTTTGGACAAAACCTCTCCCACAAGGATAAATAAGTAAGGAGACAGAGGATCCCCCTGACGGATACCACGTGAAGGAACAAAGGGCGCCCCGGCCTGCCCGTTTAGGAGAACCGCAAATTGTACAGACGATAAACATCCACTAATAAGCGATCTCCATCTGCTACAGAACCCCATTCTTTCCATAACTGCATCCAAGAAATCCCATTCCACTCGGTCATAAGCCTTCTGCATGTCCAGCTTAATACCCATCTCAAACTTATTCCTTGCTTTCCTCCCTTTTAAAAAGTGAAACATCTCATGAGCGATACCAATGCTGTCCTGAATTTGTCTGCCCGCCACAAAAGCATTCTGAGACGGAGAGATAATCGTTGGTAGTAAGACCTTCAACCTGTTGGCGAGAATCTTTGAGAGAATTTTGTACGAATAGTTGCACAAACTGATAGGCCTGAATTGCGACACATACTCCGGGTTTGGAACTTTGGGAATCAACACAATATGGGTCAGATTTAAATACTCCGTACCCGCTGACTCTTGTAGCAAATCCCTGACCAAAGCAACAATATCCTCCCTCACAATCTCCCAGTACGTGTGATAAAAAATTCCCTGGAAGCCATCAGGCCCCGGAGCCTTTAAAGCGCCCATTTGCATAGCTGCCTCCTTAATTTCCTCTTCCGTCACAGGCGCAATTAACGCCGCATTCATCTCGCTAGTAACCGAGGGAGTCAAACAGTCCAACAGCGCTCCCCAATCACGCTCCCCGGCTGAACAAAAAACAGATGTGAAGTGATTTTCCACCAATTGGCGGACTTGAGCCGGGCGGTCAACCCAGCTACCATTCTCATTCCTTAGCTTCACAACCTTATTTCTTCGACGCCTTTGAAGGGTAGAAGAATGAAAGAACTTAGTGTTGGCATCCCCTTCCCTCAACCATTTAACTCTTGACCGTTGGCACCAGTAACTTTCTTCTTGGAGCCTTAGCTCATCAATCAGCCGAGACTTCTCCCTTATCTCTGCATAGTTCGGACCCCAATCACGCTGAAGTGCATCTAGCTGGGAAAGAAGCTCCTGGATTCTGTAGGTCCGCCCCTTGAATTTCGAGTGGCTCCACCTGCTTAGCCGAGACCTGCAATCTTTAATTTTTCCCATCCATCTATTCACAGGGCTACCATGCTGCCGACCTTCCCAACAACTTTTAACCAACTCCTTGCACTCCTCCTCCATCGCCCAGTAAGCCTCAAACCTGAACAAGTTCCTCCCTTTCGGTCCCTCCATGTTCACCTTCAGGATAATTGGGCAATGATCCGAGGCTAACTCCATTCCGTGCACCACATGAGAGTTCGGCCAGCACTCCTGCCACCTCTCGTTCGCAAGGACCCGGTCTAAACGCTCCTCCACCCACTCCCCTCTTCTCAAACCTCTCCAAGTAAAGGCCGATCCATGAAAGCCCAAATCCAGCAACTGGGACGAAGACATGAATTCTTCTAAGAACCTGGGCCTATTATACAGCACCTCAACCCCTCCTGACTTCTCATGGTCCCAGATAAATTCATTAAAGTCCCCACCACAAATCCACGGGATATCCGTAGGAATAAAGTGATTACCCATCCAGTCCCAGAACGCCAATTTTTCATTTCTATATGAGGTTCCGTACACCCCGGTAATCCGACACCAGTGGGTTTGCCCTTCACATTTCACAACAGCATCAATAATATGCTTAGAAGAAAAAATAATCTTAACCTCCAGATTGTCCTCCCACCATAAACTCAAACCTCCAGCACTTCCATTTGGCGAAACATCGAAACCATTTGAGTAACCTAACCGCCTCCTCACCCCACAAATTCTATGATCTTTCATCTTAGTCTCAGATAAAAAAATCATAGAGGGTCTCCTCTTACGAATTAGCCCATGAAGAGCCCTAACTGTCGTGTCCGACCCTAGCCCACGACAGTTCCAGAAGATATAACTCATGGCTGGCGTGCGGCTGTTGAAGGCCAGCCGCCACCGCCCCGAGCTGTCATGCCCGCCTTCCTTGCCACCCTTTTACCAGTGGTAGTATCCGACCCCCCACCTAATAATTCCTTTCTCGCCTGATGCTCACTTATTTCCTCCTCCTTTGCTTCCGGAGTACCTACCTCACCTTCCACCACTTGACTCCCTTCCTTCGAGTTTAAGGTCCTCCAACGCTCATCCATCCTGTCTTGACATTCCTCCTCCATAACCGCGCCTCTGGGTTTCTTCTGTGAAACTGAAGTTAAAAATACCTCCTGTGACTCCACACCCCTTTTGATTCCCCCCAATTGGTCTTCACCCTGGGCCGACACAACATCAATGACCCCCTGAATATTTTCCGCCTGTCCTTCCCCCCTTGGCTTTGTGCGTTCCATACTGGAGCTGGATGACGAGTCCTCACCCTCCATCCGCCTCCTTCTCTGCCACTTCTTAGGACCTATGCTCTGAGCCGTTGATGTCCCCCCCGTCTCAACAATTTGCGTACTCTCCTGTCCCTTTCCTATTGACTTCCGTAAGTTTCCTTGGTTCTGAACAACCGCGTTGTCCAGTCTTCGCACCGCACCTGCCATCCGGCGTTCTCCCCTTTCCATACATTCCACTCTCTTAACTGCAACCACATCCCTGACCGGAGGCGCCTTTAACCACTCTCCATACACCACTGCCCCTTCTCCAGGCACCTCACTTGTACACTCAGTGTTGTTATGCCCTATCCGGCCACACCGGTAGCAGAAATCCTGGAGCCGTTCATAACGAAATTCAACCCAGGTATCCCTGTTAGAATCCCTCCGTATCCAACATCCCTTGAATAATGGCTTCTCCGTATCCACTAAGATTCGAACTCGCAGAAATCCCCGAGCAAGACCGGGGTCCTCCATGGCTATAAACTTTCCAGCCTCTTTGGTTAATCGTTGGATATTATTTTCAGAAGCTAAACCCAGGGGAATTCCCCTAATTTGGACCCAGAATGGAACAGCATCCAGTTCCAGTTCCTCTAGAGCGAGCTCCGGCGGCCACTTCACTACAGAGAAAACCTTTTTCATCACTGCCCATGGTACCTGCTCAATAATTTTGGAAGCTACATTTTCATCCTTGGCCGAAATTACAAAGATATTCTCCCTTACCCATTTTATATCGACCTCACCCAATTCTTGCCAAGCTGCTCTGAGAATGTTCCTGACTCCCCATTTATTCACTGGTTTCTGCGTGAGAACTTTCCCAACCAATTTGATTCCCTGCTCCATAGATGACAACTCTAGCGTCTGATTCAATTGAACTACGAGTTCCTCCACCCCCCTGTTCGCCATTTGGTTAGAAACCCACTCTCGAACTCGCCCAGTCTGACTCGCAGGGTACCCTTTAATTTCTGCGCTCTTCCTCAGGCAAGACAAATATCCCTCTCGGTTTGCCTTCTGAGGCCTTTTGTCAACTCGGTCGAAATAATCCCCCATCAGTAAAGTCCTCATAAATGTTACCAGTCGCCCATAATGAATTCTGAGATACCAGCCTTGTTGAAAAAGACCCCCTAACTGCACAGCTATGAAAAGCCAGTCCATATCACATTTAAGATCCAATCGACCCCTTGGCAGTTTCCCCATTACTCCCCACCCACCAACCACTTCTTTCAGACTCACCTTCCCCTCTTCCCAGACTACCAGAGTGAAATTAAACCCCTTCCCCGAACCTCACCAAACCCCTTTACCCTCGACAAGAAGCTGTCAACATTGAGAAGCCCCAAAAAAGACCCAAACCCTAACCCTACTCACAACAGACCCAAATAAGACGAAATTAAATCCCCCCACCCGGATAACCCACTAGCCCCAACCACCCTCAAGACAAAGAACTTCCTGAAATGACAGAAATCTACCCCCTTTCCGTCGCCCTAACTCAACCCTCCCTACCTGTCAACTCTCCGAGCTCACCGTAAGTTCCCCATTTTCATAAAGGCAGACCAAGCAGAAAAGTAGAAGCGCAATCTAGCAATCGAAGGCAAACCTGGAACAAAAGCAGATCTGGACATTTCCCCGCACAGCGGCGGATCTCACAAAGGAGCAGAGACTCTCACGCCACGGAGAGAAAAAAGTTTATGACTTGTTATACAAAAGTTTCCTTTAATTAGCAGCTTAAAATATACATAAAGCATGCAAAGGTGACTTGGACCACCATTCTGGCACAACTTTCGTTCCCCCTTCCAACTTTGCCGTCACTGAAACAAAACCCCCCCCTTTTTTTTTTTCAAATATTGTTCTTCTCATCTTCCCACGTTGCTGTCCATGGTGGTCCATGGTCGGTCGCACGTGGTATTTTCTCATTGGCTGGCACCTCCATTAACGAATCTCAACCATGCATTGCTCCCACCGTCACTTGGAATTATCCCGATGGATCTTGCAATAAAAAGAAGAATCCCGATAATACAAGTAAAGAAAGCTACATAAACCCAAAAAAGATAAAGTTACTCGAACCATTTAGAAAAATGAAAAAATAAAGGACAGAACACAGTTGTTTACATGAGTAAGTAATAAAATTGCAAAGAAGAAATATGAGAATAATATATACAGATATATAATATATAATTCATAATTCCCTATATAAACCATGTTCGTTCTACACAGAAGGCAGTCGCACAAAAAACCTTCACTGAAACCCCATTTTCAAATTTCAAACCCTAACATGGCTAGGGACTACACCTATTATTCTTACTGGGACTACTTCTCCATCCCTCTCCACCTTTGTTTCTTCATTTCCATCCTCGTCTTCATCTTGGGGTTCACATGGTACATAAACTACGAGTCCATGTTTGAGGACTTGATGACACAAGTCAAACTCTTCCTCATGATCGTTCCAATCATTCTGCTACTCGTCGTCCACTGCTTATCGGGTGGGTTGTCGTTTTTCTTGCCGCTGCCGGAGCAGGATTCACTTCATAGAGCCGGAGGGTCTCCATGGGGCGTTGGACTCGTGCTTGTGTTCCTTTTGATCATGATCTCTTACCAGTCTTCTTTCCAGGAACGTTGGTTTCCCTTACTGAGTAGATGATGATGTGGTTTTGTTAGGTATATATATACAAATGGATGTTCATGTAATATGAATTTGTAATAGTACTATAGCTTTGGCTTTGGTCTGTTGATCGTTTTGGCATACACAAAACTGCCTATACCTAAATAGTACCTGTTGTTTTGAGATCTGTATGCAACTTGGTGTTGTGATATTCCTTTATCTTTTTGTGAGGCCCGTTATCACGACTTCATTATTTATATATGCATGAATTCTGACCATTAATCATTGAGTATTCATCACATAAAAATTGTTTGTTGTCCGATAAATACAATTTTATCAAGCATCGTATTGTTTAATTCTCCTATTTAGTTTGGCCATAATTTTTCTTTTGATGATGGCATTATACATCTCAATGGTTTCTTTAATGTGGTGGTGCTAGTGGGATGCAAAAATGCGATCTTATAACATTTTGTACATCATATATGTATCATATCTCTAATAGATGTAACTTACTTATATTAGCAGGGGATTATGTCTCTATTAGAGAGATAGTACACATATATTATACAAAATGTGAAGTGTAACATCACTCTAACGAGATGTTATTGGCCCGTTGATCTTGCAAATACCTCACAAGATACATCCCACATTGCTGAGTTCTTTTGTATTATAGCTCATGTACTTTGCTAGGAAAATTGGATCAACTCTTCACAAATTAAGTCCCTCAAAACTAACCATGTCATAGTAAAAAACAACTGACATTAGTTATTGTACTATAAGTTAGATTTTGTATTTCACTGTGTTGTTTCTGTAAGTATTTCTTATTAACATTATATAGTGACGGGACTATTCCGTAAGTTGTGTGGGAGAAATATTAAATACATACAATATATGGTGCAAAAATAATCTTCTCTTCCTCAATCATGGCTGTGGTTAATGATGGAAAACATATATTATCCTTGGTTGCCTGTGGTTGGTAAAGTGTACGTGCCTATGCAAGCAATAAAGGGTGTGTTGACCCTGGGAAGCTAATGATGTTAATTGCAAACGAAATGAGGGTGCCATTTGGCGTTTTGGCTCCAATTTTTGGGAAATTGATCATCTTCAAATTTTTTCCTTCTAATCCACCAAATCAGAAGATTCCGATTATTGAAATTTGATTGAACGATTATAAATAAGGGCTCATTTTAAAATTATAATAACTTTAATCGTTAGATCAAATTTTAATAGTCCGGATCTCCTAATTTGATGAATTAAAAAGAAGGTATCCAGAGATAATTACTTTCCCCTTTTTTGTAACGTATAGCTGGAATTGGCATTCGAACATCACATCACCAAATAGAATCAGTTGGACTAAATTGCTAAACAGCTAGACTGCTAAATTGGTTTAGGAATATTTTTACGGGTCTAAAACTTTAACTAGCTAGTAGTTTCGAGTACTTTAGTTACAGTTTAAAGAGTCCCTTAATTATTTTGTATTAGTTTTTAGTTTTTATTTTTACGATAATTAAAGAAAGAAGAAAGATCGACCAAAAGAAGATAGTGAAAATACATGAGAGAAATAAATTGTATAAAAGCGGGAAGGAAAGTTGGGAGAGACGTATATGCAAGGTAAAAGGTGTCCACAATGAAGGGTAATAATAAAGTTCTTTTTCTTTTATAAAATGATCAACTAGTGATTTTATTACGACAGTTCATCTTTTCAGGTATCGAAAAAACTCAAGAAGCATTTCAGCCTCCTTTGATCATCATTAGTGATGCCTCTCCTAACCACCATTGTTGTAATTCATCAGCGGAATAAATTGAACGCAGACGTCCCGTGTGAATATGAACTTAAAATTCCTTCGCAATAAGTAATCACTCATAACTCTAAAAATAATTATAATTATATCAAGGGAACTTTAAAGAAAAGCTCATAGTACTGTTCAATTTAACGAAACCACATTTTTACACTAAAAAGTCAATTTTGGTACTATTCATTTTATCCTTTATTTTATCCTTATCGTTAAAATTCAAAATTTTCAAACTATTTTCATTAGTTTTCCTTTATATCAATCGTCTACTCAAAGTTCAAATGGGATTCATGTGGAAAACAGTACCATACTTTTACCTGCAATGGCTCCCTGTGGAATCCGTACTCCAGAGGCAAGAGGATTTGAAAAAATGGTCGGAAAAATAAGAAAAGGTTTTATCTCTTTTCTTGAATGAAACACTGAATAAGAAATTTAATTTATGAGCTATTAAGCACTTCCCAATATAAATGAGAGACAATCTAACGCAGTCAGCGAGATGGACGAGGACCCCAGATCACGTGTCAGAGGCGTCAGTATCACGTGACTCTTGACACGAAGCAGTGGAGCCCTACCGCCCACGGGGTCCGTACGGACGGCCAGGTCCGACTCACAAAACTTCAACACTGATTATAACCAAACTCCACAAAAAAACTGCGGCAGGCAGAGCACAATATTCGAAATGTCAAATATAAATGGCCAGATGATCTACCCTTACCCAACAGTGACTTAAATAATATGAGAAGGATAGCAATTAACCAAAACATACTTGAGTTTTAGGAGGAGCTCAAATCATCAACCGCAGGTTCCAGCATTGCTTGAGGGGTCTCTACAGGGCTCGAAGTTGAACAATGCTCAAGGGGCTCGAGTGAGACAAACCTACCTATAATTTCAATTCTATGGTTACTGTTTCTCAATCCGATCACTTCCGCGTGACAACGTGTGATTAGTCAGTGATATTGCCCTCGCATACTAAGTGTATTGAAAGTTCTTCTCATCGGACCTAGAGTGGCTATATTTCAAAAACTGACTCAAGTCTAAATTGTTTTAAAGAAAAAGATGTTCAAATCTTTGATTAAATATGCAGAGGATCACTTAGAACCATATATGGTTGGTCCATATCCTTTGTATAAAGCCTCTATTTCATTGGTTTTGGGGGGGTGGGTAGGGAGATCATGTCTAAATTTGGCTTACTGAAACTAATTGGTCGATAATTAACGGTTTAGATTTCTAATTAGAAAGTGGTCCATTCCCAAGTTGCACCGGCTCTCCCATTGGAATGCTCGTAGTACACTCAAGTAAACAATAACACTTTTTCAGATTGGCTTCTGCATAATTTCATTTCCCCATTAATCAAGCAGAATAAAGTCAACAATATGTCAATTGTTTTCCAACTGCTCCTTTCTTGGGCAGAAGATATCAATAAAGAAACAATGCGGCTGAAGGAACCAAAAATGGCAGATAATTAATGATACTGCTTGGAGACTCTCTATTTAATATATTTTCTAAATTATACGACGTGGTTGTTGATGATTGAATTATTATTTGTGTTGATTAACATACTTAATTGACACATCTCATGATTTACAAATATGGTCTAAAAATTTGACATACCTAACATTACTCGATAATTAAACGTAAATTAGCAGTAAGGCATATGGAACTGGATTAGTCTGAATTTTTTCATGATAACGGGTTCTAAGATCTAACAGCTACCACACAGAAATATTGTGATACAGAATTTTGAAACATTATAGAAAGTGTCAAATTCGAAGTTGGAATTAAGAAAGAAGAATTCATCTCCCATGAGAGTATCAGAATTTGTTTTAAGTTTGTTACTTTTAGTACTTTTTTTCTTCCGAATTTAAAAAATTTTAACCACTCGAGAGTGTTCAAGCACTACTCGAGTGGTCTCGAGGAATCTTGAGAAAGTACCAAAGTTGAGAAGTAGCAGCAAATGCTTAATTAGAATTACATACAAATTACTACTATTGTCTCTCCACACAATAATTTTCCATAGAGAAAGGACAGTCACAAAAGATGCTCAAATCATACAAAGGAGAAGCGGACATTACATATTCATACTTACCCCTTGAAAAGAGAGGCATAAATTAAACTAGAAAAGAAGGCCATGCAAGGAAGGCTGGTAAGATATGAGAAAGAAGAGCAGAGATAGTAGAAAGGCCACGCCCCAAGGCGATCCTCCGGCTCTGTGGATGGCTTCGGGCTCCGACCCCGGAATGCTGATGCTAACTTGGCTGCCTGTGGAGAGCCAATGAACTACAATGACTATAAGCAAAGGGGAAATTACCAGCAAACGTTGCAGCAGCTCGGACACGGTGGCCATCACAGCGTCGTAAACAGCGTAACCAACAAACCCGCAAACGAGTATTATAGTAGCCATCGGGAGCCAATTGTCCGAGAGACTGGAAAGCCAAGAGCTTGATCTAGGAGCTGAAGCCATGAGCAAATGGTGAAGTGTGCAGAGAGCGAAGGCCTTCTTGTAGTTACTCTGGTGGAGTGAAGTGCGTACAATGTACTGCTCGGCAGGAAAAATAATTGAGACTTGCAATGCGGTAACTTTTGTACCATTTTGTATTTTATTACACAGGGTAATTTGTAAAATAAATTTACCGAGTCTAAATTAGAATTTTTAATATGTCTGAAACACAAATTCATACATTATACAAGTAAAATTACAGGTAAATTTTTTTTTCTTTTATATAATAAAATATGGCACATCACTATGTTCTACAGCTCAAATTAGAAGCTGTAAATAAGAATGTCACTGTCAAGGGACTTTCGGTTCCCACCATAAGTCTCCCACAATAATAGCAGGTGGTGCGATGCTAAGACCTGGTTTGGTACTGAGGTGATTCTGAAAAAAGCTGCTATCAAAAAAAGCTGGGAGCTGTTTTTGTGTTTGGTAAACACTCAGCTTCAGCTTTTTTTCACAGTTTTGGATGAAAAAAAGCCAAAAACAAGAAGCTGCAAAACCTAGCTTTGAAAAACTGGCTTTTTTTCACATCTGTTTTACATAAAAGTTTACCAAACACTCTAATACTGCTTTTTTTTTTCAAAAGCACTTTTACAAAAAAGTTTACCAAACACTCTGCTGCTTTATTTCACAGCTGCTTATTCTCACAGCACAGCAGAAGCAGCTTTTTTTCAAAGCACAGCAATACCAAACCAGCCCTAAGTATGTTTGAATTACCCCAAGGAGTAATATTAGTGGCTTTATCAATAAAAGTGCTGACAAAGTACAGTCATATCCAACTCAAGTGATTCACCAGAATTACTACTGCTTTTGGGAAAATGATTCTCGTCGGATTCTTTTTTTAAGAATCCCAGGGATCTTGTCATCGTGATTATTTATCGTATATCGTACGATCAATTTTTATTAAGTGTTATTTATATTTAATTTTTAAT